GAAATCCTGGCCAGGACGCGTCCTGGGAAAATGGCACGTATGGTCACCCTAACTTAGCATAGCTACTGCTAACTGCTTAAGAAACTAAGAGCTCTGTTCATTAGCTAGAAAAAGATATTGTGATAAGAAATGTTGTATCTTGAGACGACATGCTAAAAACTACTCCGAACACCACCACATACCCTGTTGAAAAAAACAGCATATGCTGGTTAGTGGGGATTATCATGACTGGTTGTCAAGGTCATTAAGTCTCTTAAAATATTGTGTTAGATAATCTGTCCTCTTTATGACGAGGCAAGTTTAGTTCATGGCAGACAAATTACGTTGTGTGACTCACATGGTGCGATAAATTAATAATTCATGACATTTGTAAAAATTATTTTTAACCTTGAAGAATACATTTTAAAACATTTTGAAAATAAATAAATAAGATGTGTACACTCATGTGTATTCAAGGTATAAGAAAAATATGTTATTACTTTTTATCTGGTGGTTACAATTAAAACATTTGGCATAATTGGTACCTGTTTTATTGGAGACCCAGATGATGGTCTCTGTTGATATGTGACTGGAGTTTCCCACTGCGAGCGTCAGCGGTATTTGCCACTGGAAGCTGAAATGAGACAAAGAGAGAAATAACAGCTGAAATGCTTCTATTTGATCTCAGGGGTTTAAATGTCACTGCTGCAGATACCTACTGTATGACGCACATAATCTTACACATAAGGACTCCCATGACTTAATGCGATTGTGGGATATATATGGGCGATATCCTCTCTGTCTCGGCACAAGCAGGCAAAGTGACAAAATCAGAAATATCAGATGATTGTGAAGCTGAAAGAAATTCCAGCAATGTCAAAGCTCAAAGAAATCAGCTTTCATTCTTTCCCAGAGTGCCTTGCTATCTCTCTATCACACACACACAGCTGTGTATCACTTGTCACCCGATCGCTGTCATGTTCTGTGTCGCCACCTCATTTTGATGTCGATTCATCTGTGAGTGTGTGCTTTCATGTGTTAGTGTGTGTATGAACATCCCTAGGTATGAGTGCACATCCAGTAAAAGCCTGTCTGACAGCTGTCACAATGGATGGCCGCCCCTCTTTCAGCTGTCTAAATGGCTGACACACGGGTGAACGTGGTCTGCTGTCTGCCAGCGTAAATTACTCCAGACGACAAGAGCACAGCAGAGCCGACCAACAGCAATAAATACTGTAACCTTATGAGATCGAATTCAAGACCGAATCATTTAAACACACTCCAAACATGCTATTTGAACTTCCGCAACAAAGCCATTGTATTGACTGAGAAAAAGTATTAAATTTAATATTATGCAAAACATATTACTTTAGTTATTGTACTTGTATAAATACTGGGGGCCTTTTGCCACATGCTGGTGAGCCTTTTACACCAAACAAAACAAACTACTTTTTATGATTTATTTTTCCACAGAATGAGTTGTTCAATAAAAATATGCAATCAATCACTATGGAAGCAGGGAAAAGCACATTTCCCTTAAGGTGTGCCATTAGCCCCATTTAACTCTATTCAGTGCCTGATAAGAACTTGTTATATATATATATATAACAATACATAATGGTGTTTTTATACTTAATCATGAAAATATGATAATGAATGTCTTTTAAATTACATATCACGTCAACAATGTAAAAATGTTTAAAACAATACATCTTTCTTTGTGTTTTCAGTTTGCCTCTGGTTAGCAGCTTAGCTTACTCTAAGCTTATCACTAAATGCCTTCGGTTAGCGTTAGCGACCTTGCTTACTTAGCATAGGGTGACCATACATGCCATTTCAAATGTTCACGCAAAGAAAGAAGGCGTAACTTTTATTCTCGCTCTGTTGAAAAAAACAGCATATGCTGGTTAGGTATGTTTTGACGCCTTTGCTGATTTATGCTGGTCCTTTTCTGGTTTAAACTGGTCCTTTGCTGGTTTAAGCTGGTCTTTTGCTCCTTTGCATGTGCTGGCAAAGGACCAGCATAAACCAGCAAAGGACCAGCTTAAACCAGCATCCCAGCGTCAAAACATACCTAACCAGCATATGCTGGTTTTTTCAACAGGGTAGCAGCACCCTGTCAACCGTCACAGCAACCTAGCATTGTAGCAGTGAACTTTACACAGGCACGTGACCGATTTTAAGCATAAAATGTCAAA